CTCTCTCTCTCTCGTCTGTCTGTCTCTCTCTCTCTCTCTCTCGTCTGTCTGTCTCTCTCTCTCTCTCTGTCTCTCTCACTCACTCTGCCTGTCTGTCTGTCTGTCTGTACAACTTCGTCATTCATTCATAGTTTATGGAACTTGAATGTTTGAAAGATGAAAGAGTGCGAGACTCCTTGAAATACACCTCAGCGTATCGTAACATTTCTGAAGATGTGTTCTAAAAACAAAGTGTGTGCATGTTTCAAAAGTACAAAAATGCTTTCAAAAACTCATGATCTTCTGGCTAATGCCCAAGACTTCTAGGCCCTTCAGTATCCAACTGTGACAATACACTATGAGTTCTTTGATTTATTAGTTCAGACTACGAACAAGTTCATCATCAGTCTTCTTGTATATTGTAGAATTATTTTGATAATGATGAACATATTTTTTGCTTTTCTTGACTGGCTTTGTTTTGTAGTAGGATACCAGATAGTTTAGTATTTCATCTGTTTATATTCAAATGATGATTCAAACGAGATTATATTATTAATATAGTCACACATACCTAATAAAGCGACCCATTAGAAGGTATTGAACCATAATAATAAAACAGATTGACAAACTAATTGTCCAGGTTTGTTAAAACCACATCGTAGACAAACAGCATGGACAATTATTAGCATATAAAATTTATAATTTTATAAAAATCTTGGTCAACTTGCAAACATCATCTGGCCAAGTAGCATGACACAAGCCATTTTCTAAAATTGGTAACAGATCCATCAGAGTTTACATATGTAAGTATGCTACAAATCATATTTTTTTAATTAGTCACAGGTACATCAGAGTTTAAATATGGATGAACATCAAAGAGTTTGCAGAGCTGTGGGAAATGACCACCATTGTGAGGTCAAAACAATACATATTTTAGTAGTGATGGATCTAAGAAATTAAGGTGACAAAAGTGTTTCTATTGGGTCGTTCATAAATTATGTAATGCGGAAGACGGGGAGGGGGTATGAGGCAGCGTTATGCCACGGTACATAGGGTTAGAGGGGTGATAGTTTAGTGTTACTTGATGCTGATATTTGTTTTTAAAATCTTTCAACATTTACTGAAATAATTCCTTTTATTCAGTCGTATACTAAAACATTACCATATTAACAAATTAAATTAAAAATATAATACATTAAAGAAGTTATCTTCTATAAATTGTTATAATAAATGAAAATATTTTTTCCTCAGTTATATATTGAATGTATCTTTAACATTACGAAGAAAATACTCAAAATGTTCTCTAGAATCCAATTAGTTGACGCAGTAGCTTATGCGTCATCCACGATGGCATGTGCATGGCTTGTTAGAAATTTTCTCGCCTACACATCCTTCTGACATTAAAAAATTGTCTCTAAACTTATTTTTATGCACTAACTAAGTCTCACGTTATTTATAATAAATTTTAATCTATAAAAAAATACAATTAGTAAAACTCGTTTCTGCTTTATAATTGTGGTTTAAAATTGGCGGGGGGGGGGGGGGCAGGGAGGCTTGTCACAAGCGTTACATAATTATTAGAGGGAGGGGAGGAGGTCCAAGCATGCGTTACAGGGGAGAGAGTATTCAAAATACTCTATATTTGTGATACGAAATTTATGGATGGCCCCTAATAGCAATAGTGTATGATAGGTGAATATATAATGATATAACTTTACTTATAAGTGAAATTATCATATAAGTGATACAGGAAAATTACAAAGTGGCATGTTGTAAAAGTTGTGGAACAAGAAGATGAAATATGTGGCAAATTTATCTGTGAAAATACAAATTAATCTGATAAGAAAATTAGTACATTGACAATAAAATTTACGGTGTCAAACGAAACCAATTATTTCTGTGTAAAGGAAGGAAAGAGATTACAATTGTAAAATAGGATGATGGATGTCATTAAGTTACTCTGTGGATTGGAGGTTAAGCTTGGGAGTAGTAGAGGTCAGTAAGTTGCTCTGTGCCATTTAGAGATTAAGTGTGCAAGTAGTACTTTCAATAAAAAGCATTTCAAAAAGAAGTCTTTTCATGTTCTTTTCCGTATCAAGTATTTTTATGTTATCCCAAAGAATACATGATTATACTTCATTTTGTGCCGTGAACAACCTAGCTTCTCGGGATCTCTTGATCGTACCTATGTATTTGGGAGGGCAGTCTTGGCATGAAATTTGATACACAACAATACGTAGCCTGTTGATAGGAGTCCAAAAGTTTACGCCCTGAGGAAGGTCGCAGAATGGCGACCGAAACGTTGGCACCTTCGCCATGGACGCGGTGTCACCCGGACAGCCTAGTAAATAAATCCAAGAACTAGACAATCTTCTAGTCAATTAGACAATTTACTATTTTATTTTAACTCCCTATTAAAAATTAGTTAAAAAAATCAGGGGACCTCTTCAAAATTAGATGGTTGTCTTATATTATGTCAGTGAGATGTCTTATCCTTTGAAATATAGGAAAATGAAAAAAATACTTTTGACATTAATTTTCTTATTGTATTTTTCAGAGCACATTGAATCCAAATGCTGCTGAATTTGTGCCCCGTCGAAGGCCAACTCGACTTGCTGGTCCAGCTTCCTACCTGCCAAAAAATTCTTAGAATTGTCATCATAAACTATAAACTGAAGATAATTTGGTAGGCTGTGAAAATGTGTTTGAGTTAAGGGGGAAATTCATATTTTTTCTATTCTTTTGTTTCTCTCCTTTCTTTTTCCTCTTCTCAAGTTCATTCTTTGTAATTTTCTTTCTTTTATTTTGACTTCCAAATTTCCAATAAGCTTTTTTTTTTTTTTTTTTTTTTTTCCCTCCTCTCCCCCATGAGTTTTTCAGACCTACCTTTTTATATTTCTTTTATGTTTAGTTTCCTTCTTCTCTTGTAAATTTGTTTATTTCCTTTATTCATGTGCTATTAAATTTTGGACATGTACTGATCACCAACATCTGTCTGGTAATGTGTGTTGTAATTGTACATGTTTCAAGTATGCAAGATTGTGTGCTTACAGGGAATCACTAGTTGAGCAATGTTATTGATATTCATGGTAAATTAAAACAACAACCAGGTTTGCAAAATGAAAGAAAAATGTGTATTACGAAGTCAATGCTTTGCTTAGAAAGCTTACATTGAATAAATTGCAGCTAATTCGTGAAATACCTTTCACTGAATAAATTGCAGTCAATGACATATTTTCCAATTACAAAAATGTATGAAAATATTCACAAATTGATATAAAACGAAAAGTCAGCATGCACACAATCTGTGGGAATATCTCAAATTATTTGCAAGAAAGGGAGAGAGAGACAGAAAGAGTGCAAGAAATTGAAAGAAAGTTAGAAAGGAAGGGAAATAATTGGTGAGATAGAGAGAGACAGAAAATTAGAAAAATCAATTGCAATGGAATGTACATGCTCAAATTGGGTTGTGACTGCAGAATGAATGTATTGGCTTCACTGTTCAAGAGAATGAGATAAATGTAATTCATTAAGTCTCGAACTAATACTATATGCACAGTGTAATTACTAGGTTTTTGATAATTTTCTTTCATGGGATTTAGTTATGTTATTTCTTAACATCACTGTAACAGGCTAACAACATCCCATTAACTATAGACATAAGCAAAGTAATATCAGTCCCTAAAAGACTGAACTAAAATAAAAATAAAATGTATGTAATTCTGGATTGACCATAATATTTGGTTATAAAATGGCCAATTCCCTTCGATTTTTCCTTATTCATTCATATTTTTCAGGTAAAGTTCTGTTTGAAAACTTTGTTGAGATATAAATGAAATAAATCTTCAATTGTATATTTGGAAGGAATTAAAAATAAATGTAGCTGTATATTAAGGAGTACAGGATATCAAATCAGAAGAACACTAAAATTCAACAAATTTGTTGCATGACAAGAGATCTTATAAATAATTTTAGTTTTTGATGCTCACTTCAGTGAAAATGAAATGCTAAAAATGATCTGCTGAATAGTCTACAATTTTATTGGTACAGTTTCCAAACTCATTAAATTATATATGTAATAGTTGGATAGCAATATATTGTTCTACAATTTGTGTCCTTTGAATGAAAATTTCATTTGTGCATGTGATATTCAATTTTGTTCAAATAGTTTTGATTGACAACTCCAAGTTAATGAGGAAATGTGACATTTATGACATCATGTGTTTTTCTTCGCAGTATTAGAATAAATAGGATATGATTGAAATTTATTGAGTAAATGGAATATTATAAAGCACATATGAGAATTGGCAACATGTCTCATGATTACATCTAGAACACAATTGTATTGAAATAGTTTGAAACTGTCCAAGGAAATTATAATGTACCTGGATATGCTGCATCTACAAGTTTTCATCCTAAAATTAGATTGCATGATGATTATATGTTTAAAAATTTGAAGTGATTATTTGTAAAACAAAACAACTTATTGAAAACTTGGGAGTATGTCAACATGTTACATTGATTGTAATGAGAAATGAAATGTTTCATGAAATTGTGATTTTATGTTTCATTCACATTGAAAAAGAATTCTTGACTGAATACTCTGCAGCAAGACACATGTGGTATGCACACCCATAAACGAAGTTTCTCCCCTGAGCCTATATACTATATTTCTGTTTTCCTGTGGTTCGTAATGAAATAATGCCAGAGACTTCAAATGCATAGCATATAAAAAGACAAATGTGGGGTTGTGTACTTCTCCAATCTTTTTCCTTTACCAATAGAAAACACAGTATGTTTTGTTTACCATAGGGCTCCGATTATTGATAAGTATTTCAATTAAATAGAAGTTGGATTGTAATCGGATGCGAGTGAAAAATTATTAGACTTTGCTGTTCTCTGGGCCATATTATTGGCAGTGTCAAATATTCAGTTCTAGAACAAAGGGAAGAACCCTTTAGATTCTTTCATGGTTTTATGACTGTATTCAGATATTTTGCAAGTGTTGTACACTTACAAAACATTTTTGGACATTGTTCAACACATTAACAATTTTTGTGATGACTTAATTTACTTTCATCAACAGTGAGGAACACTTGATGACTGACTGAATTACAGCCCAAATGGGTATTATAACAAAATATGTGCTGAAATTGAAGCCAAATGAATTAGAGGTGAAAATTATCACTAAATCATAGAAGGCAAGCCTTCCATTTGATATACGATCATTAGCTTGGGATTGGATAATTTTATGCTGCACATGCTATAGGATTGTTTGCACAGATATTCCTCACAGAGCTAGGTTGGAGAAAATAATTGATTTCTTAAAATTAATATCAGGAGTTCGTTATTTTATATGCTAGAAAACCAATAATTTGATCTTATTTCTGAAATTTAAGGAGTTTGTCAACAGGGCTGGGATTTGTATGTTATTGCATATTTGTTTCTTAATTAGTTAAAATTGAACTTCTGAAATTTAATTATTAATTAGTACTTTTTAAGTTGGGTACTTGGAACATTTGATTATCCATATTGGTTCCTATTTCCAGAAGCAGTACTTACTTTAAAATAATAAAGGAAAATTCTCCTATCCTCACATATTTCAACTTTTGATTGCAATATGCTCCATATTCTTTTAAAATGATTCATGGAAGATTATTTTTAATTTTTAGTTCTATTTTACTAAATGAATTGGTTTTTGTTGCAAATCTGGATTTAACTCTGCAAGATCTTGTGAGATTCATGATTGTCCCTAATTATCTTCTGATGTGAAGTGGAGTTTCAGCAAATACAAAGCAATTGTGAGACAAAAGAATTTCAACATTTAAAACAATGCTTTGTAACCTATTGCTTTGCCAGAAAAGGGTTAAGGAATTTGCTTTCAGCAACATATCAATTTCTATTTTAGTGAAATTAACAATTAAATATGGTACTATAGCTAATATTGTAACTTAAGATATTTAGAAGTTTCATTTATGCAATTCAATTGTTTAATTCATTCATTATTTTTTCCATGTTTATTCGGTTTTTAGTCCGTATAAATGTAAATGTTTAGATACATATTATCCCGTATAAATCTGAGCCCTGTTTCAGTAATTCATGATAGTGTCTAAATAAAATTTCCCAGCCAAGCAATTATGTATATTTCTTTTCAAAATCTGCATTGTTTTGTTTAAAGAATGGCTAATCAACCTGATGAGTTTGGCATTAAGTTTTGAATGTTACTTTAAAGTCAAGCAAATGTCGTATGAATGGGTTTCCTTCCCTAGGAATAGAGATAGTGTGGTGAGACATCTTGATTCTTAAGAAATGTCTTGTCATAATGTGTTCAGTGCTGTTTTGTGAGGTGAATACCTTGCCAAGAAGGAAAAATAAATTATAAAAATTGTTAATTTTTCAAATTGAGATACCATCCTATTAAAAAAAAAAAATTAAAAATACTATACTGCTGAACACAATTTTGTGTCAACTTAATGTCATGGCAATGCAAAACAACATAAGTGGTACAACATAGAACCAAATTTCTTATAGTACATGTAAATAATTTTATAAAATTGTCTTGAAATTGAAGATAACTTGCAAAATGAGATTACAGTCATTCACAACTTAAAGAACACAGTGTTGGGAGAGGGCAATAGGTGATAAATATTGGGAATGTGTGGTCATGTTTAAATTTAGATTTTTCTGTAATGGCCAATCACATTTGGGTCGAATTCATCTCCTGCCTTATAAAAGGAAACATTTTAATTAATTTGTGAACGTCCTTCTCAATGGGTCTCGTGGCCTCAGAAATGGACTTACCACTGCTAAAATGATTCATTTTAAAAGGCAGGAGGTGTAACAATGATCTAATGTCAGCGGTCACTATAGAAAATTCGAAGTATAGAGGGAAGTTATTTTATTTTATTTCTTTTGTACTTGGGAGCTCCAAAATTTGTACTTCTATCAAAATTTCAAAATAAAATGTACTGTACTTTTTCTATAGTATTATGTATAAGAGAATAAATTCATTTAAATTTTAACCTACAATTTTCGACATGTGTAAAATGATGCTTAATGCTGTTGAATTCAACATCTCTGTATTCTAAGATATTAATACATTTGACAAAAATGGCAAGGTTCATCACTGAAAAAAGTATATTACTTAATTAGAGAGTTATGTCCTTGATTTTGAAGCTGATAATTCCTGGATTTATATGAATTCTTGTAAGTATTGGGAAAAAGCTTGTGTAACGAGTGAGTGAAATATTAAGTCTCTTCTTGATCATACCTGTGAATCATGTGTGCCTCAGCACATTCAAATTACAAGTCTTTTATAAATGAACACAGCATCACAGTTAAAATGCTTAAATATAACGATAGTGCTGGCATCAGAAATGTACAGGTTTGGATCAATATCCAACTACAAGGACAAGATTGTATCAGGCAACATGCAGAATGGGTATTTTCACCTTGTGAATGTGTCATGGTTGGTTTCTCTTACAATTGTACATCTATTCGGAACACCCCATTCATATTCATTCATAACTCGCTCACTTCTTATGATCGTGATTACATATACAGGAAAGGGAAGGACATAAGCACTCCCTCATCTATGCCAGAAATGAGTACTGTACAAATACAAATATTGTAGACAGTTTAAAAAAAATGTCATTCCAGTGAGTAAAATTTATTCATGCATTCAGGAAATGTGGGAGTATCAACAAACATCTGATACACTTGATTTCCAAAACTAAGCAATATAGTTCTTACAATTAAAGGTTCTTATACCCCAAATTGTTGATTTGATTCATTATTTTGTACTCCCATGTAAAGCATGGGTGTTTTTAGCTTGTGATTTGTGTTGTGGTTGGTTTCTCTTACAAGTGTGTAAGAGTATTGTTTTTTCACTCTTCAAACATCCATTTTGTATTTAACTTTGTTTTAATGCCGATATTCACTTAATTAACAAATATTTCTCAGATGTAGATTACACTGTATTCTTTTTGAAAATTACCTGCAGTTTTTTTATTATTAAAATGGGTAATTTATATCAATCAAATTTCAGGTTATCAATGTATAGTTGGCTTTTATTCTGCCCATTTCTGGAGTATGCTGAACTATGCACTTCTGAACCACACGTGGGAGCGTATTGCTATGTATATTTCATATTTAATGGAGCAATTGTTATAAAATTAGTCTTCATTTTGTATTCACTATAACTTACCATTGGATTTATTCTTTGTGATGCCATAGAACTATATGTAAGCTTTGGCTCTTCCAAATTGAGAGCTGATTAATAATGAATTTCATATATATCACAACTTTGCAAGAAAATTTCTAGGACTTAATTTTCATTGGTAAGGGCTAGTTGACTGATTTGAGTCATCACCTAATAAATAAATAATTTTTTAATTCATTGACAATTAGATTTCTCAAATATCTCTTGGAAAATTAATTATATTATTACTTTTCAAAACTGCATACCAGGAAATTAAATCACTATTATCACATAATTTAATTTTTATAAATTGTCACCACTGAACATGAAACACATTCTTTCAGATTTTTGATTCACTAAATATAAATGTATTTGACCCTATTTTTCTCTTCGTCTATTCACAATAAAATACTATTCATTCTTCTTAGTGGAAACCCGCTGATAATATAACCATAGAAATTTAGGACCATTTCTTCGGCAAAAAACTGTTTTTAATCAATTGATTGATCAATCAATTGATAAGATTGTTTTTTGTTGTGCATGTTTCGGAGACTACTAATATCGTAAACCTTCATTAAACAAAATTATGAAATAATTTTGGATATATTGAAATGTAGTTTTCCTAATTGAAAGGAAGGGACTGAAAATATTAGAAAACAAATAAATTTCCTGGATTTCACTACACCTACATACTTTCAGCAAACACTTCCATGAACGAGAGCAATTAAGATTTCTTTGAAATTCCTCTTCCACTTGTTTCCTTGGGGAAATAATGATTTCCTGTACGACCTTTCTTTAAATTTACACTGTCTTCTGGATTAGAATGATAATTTCTGGTAGTTGAATATTTTACATGTTATCAAAGTCTGGAACACCATTTTTGTCCTTTGTGATCTCTATGATGCTTGTCATTCTCAACAAATGTTTTTGGTCTTTATTTTGTGGATCATTGATTATGCCTCTGCCATCCACAGTTGGACATAAGAGAATTGGGACTTCAATATTTACTGATGATTCTACATGCTTATGACATGTTGCAAGGCTGGTCAAACTTTTACATTAAAAAGGTTTTCAGTGAATATTTGCTAATAAAAACTATAAATCATTAACATCTTTCATTGCAGTATTCCAAGATAAGAACATTTGTGACAATTTTTTAAATTAAGTTTCAAGCTCAATAGCAGTGAGGGGTCAATATCAGACAATGAAGTGACACACATTCATGACACAGGAATTTCAGCCTTCTAGAGAAACAGGAAATAAGGATATTCTTGAAATTTCCATGAATAGATGGCACTGTGTAACTGGGACTATTTTAACTGCTTAATTAAGAGAGAAGGCTTACTTAAATTTCTTAATCAAATTATTAAATTGTTTCATGAAGTGTGTAAACTCTACTGAAGTTTTTAAAATTTAATTATCTTGTATTTGTTCTACATTGTGTTGTGGCACAAACCTGTCAATTATTGGGTGATCTGTTACACCGCTAGTTGGTGCAAATGAACCTTGGGAGTTTCAGGTAAGTCATTGCAGAGCAGTCTGCTCCCCTAGTGCTAACACCTTTTGTTGCAATTTTACTCAATTTATTCCCAACATTTACTATTTCCCGATACCGTCATATCTCAAGAAGTATTCCCTTTACGAATATATACATTTTTAAGCAGATTGTTTTATTTCAATGAGGTGGAGGGGGAAACTCCTCCCCCACCTCAACACTCACTGGTTCCGCTCGTCACAGGGTAAGAAAATATTCTAAAACAGTACCTTAGGTACACGCAAGAAGTCTTTATAGACTTCGTGAGTACACGCTATGAATAGTGAATTTTAAAAATAATCTTTAAAACTTACCTGTCATTAAAAAATCCATTCTTCATTCTTTCATTTCGGCAAATCGACGCGTGTTCGAAGTTCACCTTATAAATACTCTTAAGTCACTACTCGTACTGTAAATAAATGTCAACAGAACTAAATCAACAATGGAAAGGCAGCAAAGTGTATAGGCACATGACCACTTACGGAACACTGCAGAAAATTGAGTCAGAACCACGTACGTACTAAAAACTCAGATCATAAATGTGTGATTCCCCAATTACTGAAGGACAGAAGATTGGTCTCTCTCGCTTTGCCTCGCAGAAGAGATGTCCAGGACACGTGACTTTTAGTAGTTCGGAGAGCAGCACCGTCACCTCTGAGTGTCAGGCTGGTAGAACCCGTGAGCTTATGGATAAAAAACATGTCGATTTTCTGTTAAACGTGATTATTCTTCGTTGGAGGTTTCCCTTTGCCTATGGTTGTTTAAAAACGTTTGTTTTGTTTAGGTACACTTTCTCGGAGTGAGATGTTCTTTTTTTATTTGAAATAAAGTTGTATTTTCACGATTACCAAGTTGTGTCCAAGAGTGGGCTGGGGTAAAAGGGGCCAGGAGTGATTGTAAGGTTTTTTTAGACGCTCTACTCTTCCTAAAAATCAGGAATGTAAAATTATAGCACACTCGGAAAAAAAATGACAAAAGTAGATTACTGCTTTGAAGCAAGAAAAGTTAGATGGTTATTTCAGTACAATAGGCTGCAGGCAGGTCATGAGCGCTCCTGGCAAGATTTCAATTTTGCGCTCTCTCTCT